TAGCCCTTAGGCAAAGGGAGAGACTTATAGCCATTGTGTCTGTCTGGGGGAGAGGAGGCGCAGTGAAGAGAGTGAGTGGTCACCACTCAAAGCAGAAGGAAGATAAGTCTCAAAAGAGGCTATTTCCCTTACTCACAAACACAGGCATGTGCCCAATGCCACAGGTGTAGATGACAAAGTCCCTGTTCAGGTAATCAGGTGGTTGTTGTTTAATCTTTTAGTCGTGGCCGACTCTTCATGACCCCATGGATCATAAAACACCAGGCCTTGGTATCCTCCATTATCTCTCAAGTGTGTCCAAGTTGATGTTTGTTGTTTCCGTGATACTACCTATCCATCTGATCCTCAGGTACAAAAGCCTATTATCCCATGAGCCCCTTAAAAATCTATACCTAACCCATCTCTTGAGGCAATAAGATGAACTGTAGTATCACTGGAAGTGAGAAGGGAGACAAAAGTCATTAGCAGCTTTTACTTTTCAAAAACAGATTGGACTAGCATAGTGCCCTTTGAACGAAGTCTGTTTGGTCTAGGAAGTATTTCACAGGACCATTTCTTATTGGTAACGCCCTTGTTTAAAGCTGCATTCAAGAGCTACCTCTCATATACACCGGTTTTGTGAATCCAGACAAAATATGTCACCGTTCAGGGCTCTCTAAGGTGACATGTATAGAGAAAGGGAGCTTCCTCACCAGAAATTCCCTCTATCAATGAAATTACAGATACAGTCAAAAATAAAATGCATTTATTAAGGAAGAAAAGGAGCCAAAACAGTGTTTAAAATTTTAATCAATTCTTATGGAAATGTAAACATTAATCTTGTTGATGTACTATCTCCAGATATCAGGTGCTCACATCATAATGAACATTTTTATTTAAGACATTTTGCTTTATATTAATCAATCTACCCGATCCACTGGGCTACCCCAAAACATTTTGCCATGAGTATTAGGGAAAAGGGGATTGGTGAGACATGCAATAATGATGCCAGGTCTTTATACTTACAAAATATTCTTTTATTCTCTAAACTTGGGTATAGGTACAATATTAGGGTCAACATTCCAAGAGCTTAGAAAAAAACCACATGCAAAACAGTCAGGGCAATATCCTAAGCAAAATTGGGTGGGACTTTTACATTTCCGTTCTTAATTAACAGCCTTCTTTGGTGATCATCATGCTCGCAGCTATAATATGTTGGTAGGCTGAAGAATACTCTCCCAGTACTGAAAATTCAGTCCTGGGCATATTATACCTCATACTCTGATAGATCAAGGATATACTCTCAAGCCCTGATAATTTATATCTGGCACATATTACCTACCCACCAGAGACCTACCTGATTTGTTTTTAAAAGCAATGACATCATAATTCTTCTCTGCCCCCAGTAGAATATCCCCATACATTGGTACATTTTAGATTTATTCATTTGCGGAGCCCAGATTCAGAGTGACAGGATAAGGGTGGAGAAAATGGGAGAAAAACAGTCCTAGAGAACTCCAATACCTTTCCAGAAAAAAATAAACATCAACTATCATTATTAGTCAGTGATGATTTTATTCCTGTGGAATCTTCTCATTTCTGAAGGTGTGAGAGTTGCCCTCTATCCTGTTAACCAGATGTAAAACAAGCCCCAAAACATATCCATGGAGTTTTATTATGCCCAAATTCATAACTGCAACATAAAGTAACTTAACAATTCTGTTTGCAGTGCAGATATTACTAGTCACATAAACATTTACAACTTATCTCATGCACATTATTCATAAAACTGGAATCTTGGAAAGGAGGCCTTTTGTTTCCATGGATTTTTCTCATGCTTGGAATACAGTCTCTCTTCCTTCTCTCTGCTTTGCAGAATCCCTCACTTCCTTCAAGGCTAAGTTAAAGTGCTACCTCCCAAACAAGATCAGTCCTAATTCCCTCAATTGCTCATGTCCATCCCTGCCAAGAAAAAAATTACTCATTTTTATTTTGTATTTACTTTTTTGTATAATGTTGTCTTCTTATCCCTTCCTTCCCTCATTTGAATGTAAGCGTTTGAGGGTAGGGACTACTTTGTATCCCCAGTGCCTAGGATAGTCCCCAGGCACATGGTAAGCACTTAATAAGCACTTGTTGAATGAGTTTCCTTAAAAGTCATCCATTCTGGGGGTAGCTAGGTGGTGCAGTGGATAGAGCACCAGCCCTGAAGTCAGGAGGACCTGATCTCAAATCCGGCCTCAGACCAAACACTTGACACTTACTAACTGTGAGACCCTGGGCAAGTCACTTAACCCCAATTGCCTTAAAAAAAAAAAAAGTCATCCACTCTGACCCCTACATAGTACCTTGTGACATCTACCTTTTACCCTCTAACTCTTGCCAGTCATAGCTAAAACTTCCACAAAATCAGGTTGACAACATTGAGATACCGCCCCACTTGGCATCCACTGAAGCTGATGAAGAATGGAGGCCCCAAAAGGCTTGTGCTCAAACCAGCCACAGAAGGAAGAGCCAGCCAGCCCGAGCTTTCTTCCCCAGTTTCAAGAAAACACAGGGGACCTAGCTTTGCCTTCACACACAGAGAGCCCATGGGATTTATCCAGTAACATGAAGCTTCCAGAAAGTCGGCAGGTCTCTTCCCGTAGAGATCAACATATCTAAGAGCAAACTACAGCTTGTTGAACAGCCAGCATCAAATGCCCTTGGGTCACTGAGCTTTGTTCTCACTGCCCCCCAAAAATTCTGTCCTATGATTTTCCTGAGACAGGTCCATTTTTCAAGAGGAAAAATCTTTTAATCACAAAATCTTTTTATCTCATAGGATTTAGAGCCAAAAAAGAGGGAAAAAATCCCGAGATCACCCAATCTAACTTCCTCATTTTCAGAAGAGTAACCTGAGGCCTCAGGAGAATAAGTGATGTCTCTGAGGGTCACACTGTTCTTTCCATTACACCAAGCTAGTCACCCACCCAAAGATAAAAAGAAATCAAGAAAATTGTTTCAATCAAGTTAAGCACATATTGTATTTTAGCAAAGTAATTAGAACTAGCAGAGCATGGTTGCTGCTGTCAAACTGGTAACAGAACTTTTCTACCCTAGTTCCATAGTAAATGGGAAGTGAACACCTGATTCCTATAAAGAAAAAGGCTAGGTAGGCTATAATACCTGGGATTTACATGTGCTGTCACAGCCCAGTGAAAACGAATCCTTTTATAGGCAAAGAGTAATTTTCTGACTCCTAACTATAATTTTGTTGTTCTGGGACAATAAAGCTTTTTCAGAAAAATGTAGTCAGACACCTGTCTATATGCCAACCACAGCTCCCAGATCCATCTCCTTTGGGCTCTCTCTAAAACAAGTAAATTCTAGTCTGAGACTAGGGATCCCCAACATGGCTTAGATTTATGAACGTAGGAATTTACCCCCTCACAGCTATTCCTCTGGCTCCAGAAGCAATGACACCTTGCTCTAGAAAGTAGAGTCTCAAGAAAATGAGGGGGGAAATCCAGACAAAGCACTAGTAAAGGTAACTCTTGTCCCACTTTACTTGCCCAACTTCCAATCTGTGAGTGGTTTACAGGAGGAAATGTTCTCTTAACTGGAGGAAGAAAAAAAATGTCTCAGTTGGTTTTCCTGCTGGATAGGAAAAGAGAGAGGGAATTAAAGATATCTAAAGGAGGAAGGAGGGAATGAGACACCTGGCCAAGATATTACAGTATTTCTAATAGTTAAAAATCCCAAGAAAAACATTATCCTAGTTCCTGGCTGAGTTCCTGGTTTTTTCAGGACCCAGTGCTCTGGTGTTCTACAGCTCAGCACACCTCTGCCCCAGGAACAAAGTGGTGAATTCACTGGAGGAATGCCATCTAATCTTTGGATGAAAAGCATTAGAAGTGCAAAGTGTTAGAAATGCAAAGTGCTCTTATGAACAGGCTCCTTTAGTGTCTTTAGCCCTGACTCCACTGGGTCAATGAACAAGATGGCTAAAAAAAAAAGTTCAACCCAAGCATTGTTCCCAGCCCCCCTAAGGGCCTCAAGGCAAGGGCAGTCGTGGAAAGCAGAAGCCTAGGATTCTTTTATCTAAGTAGCCCCTGAACTCTGATATTGTGGTTTCCTAAAAGCAAAAGGATGTGCCCACCAGTTGGGATCAGCTTGTGGGTACTGGCCTTGGAGCGCCCCTGGTATGGATGGGAGGTATCAGCTATACCATCCAGGGCCTCCCTCTGGCTATCATCAAGAAGAGGGACAAAGTAGAGGTAGCCTGAATTCTCTCTGCCAAACATCTCTGGAGTACAGAGCCAAAACTACACAATGAAGTGGACCTGAAGAGAGTCTTTGGGCCCTAATTCCAAAAACTCATTCTCCTTCCCTCCTTACCCTCTTTCCCCCTTGACCCAAAGTATTTACAATCCCATTTAAAGAAAGATTTTACTCATCCATTCACACTCAAGGAATCTTTGTCAAATTGGATCATTCAACTTTCACACATTAAGACTGTCTCTGGTATTGCAAGGAAATAAAATGCTCTCCTTTTATGCTCTGTCATGACGCAATATCTCACGCAGGGCTTACAGAGATGAATTATGATCTCTGGTCTCACAAGCCATGAAGAAGCAAGGGTGTGTGTCTTAGCAGAAGGAGCAAGCCCTAAATTGTCTTTTTGCTCCTTGAGGAGAATGAAGCTGGAAGCAGAGACCTAATCCTCCTGAGTGTTACATTAGATTTTCAGAATTGTGTGAATTTTTTAAAAAGTCAGCTTATTCCAAAAGATAGGTATGTTCATAACTTAATAGTTTTTAGTCAAAATAGAAATAAATACGTTTAATATATTTTACAACATGCAGTCCATTCTCAATAATAAATAAATTTTGGGATTAAAAAGTTTTAAGAACCTTTTCCCTCCAATCTCACACATATACAAGTACACACACATACACATACACACACACACACACACACACACACACACACACACACACACACACACA